CAAGTATATGTTCAACAAATCCATATATCACTTTTGAAAACAAACTCATGTAAGTTATGAAGTATTGTCAAAATTGAACTATTGTTTTAAAATTCAGAGTTTATAAATTATTTAACGGTTCAAATTAGAAGACGGTAATGAATCTACACTATTTTATTTCTCAATGAAAAAGCTCCCTTTTACTTTTAGCCATTTCCGCTAAACTGAACCAGATCTCATCCACACTCATTTTTAGTTTTAAAAACGTTCATGAATCATATATGTTTTATTTTGTTGCTAATCTTCATAATAGTTCTTGACACATAGGCTTGCTCATTATTACTTATAATTATGTTCCTTTGAAAAATAAAATTTTCAAACTTTTATAGTGACTGATTGAGTAAATCATACTCCTGTATGAAAAATAAACCAGTGGCAACATCTCATAGCCGAGAGAGTAAATAAATATTTAGTTCTCAGTCAAAAAATTGATATTTTAACATCCGAGGACACATTCTCATATGCCTTCCATGAGAATCTTTTTTTACCCATTTCCCCACAAAAATTACTATATACCTACTCTTGAGATGAAATTTTAAATAAAAAAAGTAGACCAACACACAAAAAGGAACACTCTCATGTGTCTGCAACTTGCGCTCCATCTTTTCATGCCTTAACAAATTTATTATTGTTCCGAAGAAGAAAAAAATATACAAAGGGTGACAGAGCAGTCACCAGTGGTTGAATTAAAATATCCAGTTACTTTATTTATTTATTTTTAGATGTTGCTTTTTTATTAAACCACATGATCACCGTTGGATTAAAATCTAACGGTTAGTATTCTAATCTTAATCAAATGTTGATAATATATTTTACTTTTTGAAAATTTATACCTCTTGCACAAGTTGGTGAAGATCAATGGCTGGAATAGTGAGAAATTTGTAACTCAAGTGATTAAGAATATTTATCTATACACTAGATGTTTTAGATTCGATTTCTTCCTTTTCAGTATCACTTGTATGAAAAATCCACTAACTGAAAAAGCCTCGTCAAAACGTATATATTTGACCCGAACATATGTAGCTGCTGACCAAAAGACCTACCCACCATGTGAAGTATTGATATTAAATTAGGGCTTAATAATGAAGAGCAGTTAAAGAATAGAAGCATCACACAACACAAGCTTCACAAACACCTAAAAATATTTTTCAATATGTTTTATATTTATAAAACAAATATGGTATTTCTGGAAGTTGAATAAAAAGGGGTTTGGGACGGTGACTGGCATGTCAGCCCGCCGGAGTCATAGAACAACGAATAATAGAATTTTAGGCTTTATAGCACACAGAAGAAAATAGGGATACGAAACATTAAGCTAACTTTTCTTTTTTACAAGTTTATCAAGGGAACTTATCATTGTTATTTTGACGGCCTTGAATTTTCTAAAAGGTGGACTGTGTTTTACTGGCTATATTTCTTAATATATGAATAATGTTATTTTGTCAAATATTTTGTTAACAAGACTCTTGAACGATAAGAACTGTCTATTTTTCAGGTTTCCATTTCATAGATTATTCTTACAAAAAATCAGGTGAATTGAACTATTAAGACATCTAGTTGTGATACCAAAAAAAAAGATAAAAAAAAAAATTGAACACGGTGCTCCAAGAAATTACTAAAATGACAATAATTAATTGAGTGGTTAAATGATTTCGGATTCAGGTATTTTTGCAAGGATGATCTTTAAAAGAAATACCTAAAAGATAGACGGTTCAAAGCACGAAAATACAATATGAAACGACTTCACAAAGATGTTCCTCAAATAAGTATTTGAAGCATCTTATGACCATCATTACCACCAAACTCCACTATTATCATCGTTAATACCGTTGCTGCTGCCATCACCACCATTACCGCCACCATCAACCCTGCCCACACCACATCTAGTACCGTATTATACAACTACCCGGACCAACAATTTATATTAAGCTTACACGTATTATACAACTAAATGTTAGGCTATAGGTGCATCATTGACGCACTTGATTGTTGGTAGCTAGCATGTATAGAGGCCCATGACCATCCACTTAGAGAGGTTTTGAAGGAATAAACCTGCAACCCCTACACAGCTGAACAGAATCGCTACCACAAGAAGCCTAATATAAAAATGAAAAAGGCAAAAGCGGAATGAGCTTTTGCCTTCAATCTTACTACAAGTTTTTTGAACCTCTCAAAGAAAAAGCGAAATGGTAAAGAGAAAGAAAGAAAAAAAAAATTACTGTAAATAAGCGTTTAAACATCCACTTTCCTTGAATGGGGTGTGGAATTTTTGGGCTCAACAAAGCACGTGACTAGAAATATAAATATTATGAAGGCTAGTACTAGACTAGTGGCATAGGATGGCTTGGTCATTTGAGGTAAGGAAATTCACCTATTTATCCGACCCATATACAGTGGGGAAGAAGTTCAAGAATATAAATGTTTGCTTTTGAGAATTTATTGTGAAAAATATTTTAAAGTATTAAAGTTTCAATTTATAAAAATCCATGCAATAGAAAAATACTAAAATAAAAATGAGAGGGGTTTTCTCACACAGACTACTAAGGTGTCGTGGGGGTTCGAACATGAGACTATTGGTCTAAAGTTAAGATCCTTTTTCACTAAACTAGACGTCAATTTTAGATATATTAACTTTTTTTGGATACCAATTAATGTGACAATGTTTCACTTACTATAAAAAAATAAGGTCAAAATGAACCCAAATAGAAAATAAATTAAACAATACCACATCAATGGCTTAGTGACTCTTTAAAATTGTAAGTTTAATGGATCTAGCCATTTAATTTGGCACCCAAAAAAAAAAAAAAAATCGCAAACTCAACATTCATAAAGGGTTGTATGTTTACTAACTAGGAATTGGAGCGAGCATGAATCGGAGTAAAACATTTCCATTAATTTGTTTACTAACTATTAAGAATCAGAATGAAAATAAAGCTTATTCTCATTAATTTGTTCACTAGGTCTACGAAAATGCAAACAGCAAAAGTTAAGATTTACAATAAAGATCTGTTGGCATATTACACGAATTGGTATGTTTTGAGCATTTAAAACCTACGTGGAAAAACTTGTCATTCTAACAAGTCCTTGTTTGTTTTAAGAATAGTTTTATGGACTCTTCAGGAGTCTTAATTAAATTTTAACTCCATCAAGATTTGAGTATGTGGCAACAATTCTGAAGATCAATGAACTAAAGTACACATTGTGCCCTTTAATTAATTTTTAATTCCTTCTATATCCTTTAAGAAATCGCTTTTAGCGATGTACTTAAGGCATCTCTTAACTTTTATAAAATAAGTGCTCAAGATGATCTTTCAGTGTCATCCAATGACTTATTTTTATGTCTTGAAAGATCATGACGACAAAACTTCTTAGTGAATCCTAATAATGTTGTAGAGACAAAATCAACCCTTTTTGCCATGACTACAGTAGATGCCAATGCAACTGTGATTTTGGTACAACGAAAGTCATACATGATGACCAGCACAAATGTTTCACATGATGATGAGATTGAAATCATTGTGTTCATTTAATCAAGTATGGAACTCTCAAAGCTTCATTACTGTTCCATTGAGTTTAACCATATTTCCTAGGCTGTGGGTTTTATATTATATTTTTTGTCGAAGTTAGGAGGGGAATGAGGAAACTCACATACACAGGTACTATAAGAGCTTGAATCCAAGACCACTTGTGAGCACACAAAAAGCTTGGACTGCTGTTGTTTCTTAATGTTCAAAAAAGAAAAAAAATAGAAATAGCTACTAACTCAAGTGATGTTGAGAGAAAGGAGAATCGAACCTAGGACCTAGGATAGAAGCATAAAGCCATAAAAGAAGAGGAGGACCACCTCTTGAAATAAAAAATGGCTCAATTGCAAATGGACATCTATTCAAATAATTAAAAAAAAAGTTTAAAATCTTGAATAGGGGGTGGTCGGGTGTTACTTTTCAAGTTATTATTATTATTATTTTTTATTGATATAAGTTTCATTATTTGGACAGGTATTTTTTATTTTTATTTTTCATTTTCAATTGCATTATCCTTAATTCATGAGTCGATTTTGCAATTAAATTTGGTGTAAATGCAACAAGATTAAAAGTCAAAATATGAAAAAGAAAGCAAAAAAGTGGAGAAGAGTCAAATCTCCTCCATCATGGCCCTTTTCTCCGCTTTAATCATTAATCATGATTTTATGAATATTCTCGCAACACAAAAAAGAAAAAAAAAAAGATATGGATGTTTCTTCCTTTTTTATTTTCTCACTTCAGAAGAAAAAAAACACACACCACCAAAACAATCGCAGCCCTCCACGTGTTCTTCCACTCAAATCCAAAGCCATCCTCCCCCCATCTGCCACTCCTGTAATTTCACCCAAAAAGCAAGGGCAGTGTCAAATATGACGTAATCACGACAGCAATCCGCACTAACCTTATTTGTTCAGACCCAACAACAATTACATCCCAATCTGACTCAAACACGACAAACCCAAAAAAAAAAAAAAAGAAAAAAAGAAAAAGAAATGCAGGGCAAGCTAACGTCACAGTGCTGTGACCCAGCCCCAACCTCTCTCGGCCTCTTTATTGTGGCGCACTTTAGCGCACTCCAAAACATTACGCAGAGAATTTCGCAGCAACAAACAGAGCAGCAGCAGCAGCAGCAGCTGAAGCAAAAGCTGAACACGACCTCACCTTACCTCACAGACCTCTCTATCGCTCTCCACCACAGCAAACGATACCGTATTGGACAGTCTCCACGACACACGCATCGCTCTCTCTCTCTCTCTCTCTCGTCTTCTTTTGTTTGCTCTGCAACTCTTCAAATTTCACCATTTTTAGCTCAAAACGAAGACCAAGAAGAACAATGGAGGCTTTCTACAGGCTCGAAGCTTGTGGAATAGTGTAGGGTTCAGATTCTTCGGAAACCGTTCAGCTCCGTTCAGTTTCCCTCTCTCTCCCTCTCTCACTCTCGCTCTGTATTGTATCCATGGCCGGCCGGAGATTGCGATTGAACTCGTGGAACTTGGATCCGGAGAGGAAGAGGACTGGTGGATTGAGGACGAAGCAGGCGGGAAGAGGATCATGCCGTGGGAGTTAGGCGCTGGAAATGTACGGTCTCCGGCACTGATATCTTGATGTGCTTCCTCGCTGTCTGTTTCTATTGGCTGTAAATTTGTGGTTTTCGTCCGATTACTGCTTTGATTTTTTGATTTTTGAGCTCCGAAGAAGCCGAAACTATGGGGCTTTTGCTTAAACAAGCGCTCAAGACACTCTGTGGTTCCAATCAGTGGGCTTATGCTGTGTTCTGGAAGATCGGCTGCCAAAACCCTAAGTAAGTTCCCCACAAATTGGACGAAACACAAACAATGCTGTAAAAATATTCGGTTTTCCTATTTTATTTGTCCTCCATTTCTTTTTGAAAAATTTGTCTTTGTTTGGCTAATAATTCTGCTCCCTATGTGTCTGTTTGGTTGCCCTGAGAAAGTGGAGAAAAGTTCGGATAATTTTCACTTTTCAGGTTGAGGTTTTAGAGATTTTAGATTTTATTTCAATTTTATTTTTCTTTTATTTTCCTGCATTTTCTCAGTGGCCAAACAGTGTGGATCTGTTATCAGTTATATGTTGTCTCTTTCCGTTTGGTTGGAAGGGCTAGGGTTTGGGATATATTCTAAGATGTACGATGGAGATGTTATAGTCTCATTGTTTGGTGTGTTCTCTCTTGTATTTGATTCGCAATCTTGTGTCTCTTTATTTCTGTTTTTGGAAGTTTATGTTTTGGTTTTTGGTTTGTTCTGTTTTGTCTTTAAGAATCTAAGTGAAAAGTGGGTTTGCATTTAGTTTGCCAAACCCGCTCTTTATTGGACTCATTTACTGCCTATGAGTATTCCATCAGTATCTGTCTTCCTTATTGGTTTTATACCCTCTTGTATATATACATTTTTTTTTCAAGTAACAAGAAAGGTATTTTAATTATTATTTTGTTCACCAGCAATGACAGGTTAATTTGCTTTGACCCAAATAAAAAGGAGAGTTTTCTCTGCTGACCTGTTACTATCTTTTCTTCACTGTTTCACTTCTGAGAAATGCATTTTAAATAGATATGTTTGAAACTTAAATAATTTATGACACATATTAAAACTACTTTCAATTAAATTGAACTATTTAGCCTTCAAGTCTTTTTATTTATTTTTTGTACTTTTTATGTCATTATTTGTTGTTAATGTTCAAATCTTTGATGTGCTCATGTCCCATGCCATCTTTTGATGGTTTTGATGTCTGTTCTTGGGACTTTCATCTGTTCAGTGATGAGGCTTTTGTAATTTGAGTTTAAAGAAAATACTTCTACTTTGGTGGCAGACTATTAATTTGGGAATGTCATTATGAACCATCAATATGTTCTCTACCTAAACGCATTGCTGGAACTGAAAGAGCCGAATTACCATTTGGAGAGTGGGAAGGGTGCTGGGTTTCTTCTGAAGTGTGTTCCTCTTCTGTCTTCACTTATTAATAGAATGATGATGGATAAACCGTTTAATATAGTGGGCGAAGGGTATGACCTTTCTGTTAACTATGTTTTCTGCTTGGCATGTATCTCATTTTTAAAGTTCTTTTGTTATTAGCAGCCTTTTTTAAAAACTGTTTTTTGGACCCTTTCAGAATAGTGGGACGAGCTGCATTTACAGGAAACCATCAATGGATTCTATCAAGCAATTACACTAAAGATGCCCATCCACCGGAGGTATATATTAGTATTCCGAATACCCCATTTTGATATGAATTTTCTTATTTATTGCTGATGAAAATGGTACAATAAATTTCAACTTTACACACATGTTTGGCAGGATCTCATCTAACTCTTTATTTCCATGTATTTACATGAATACATATTTCATAAGAAGTTTATATTTGTGTGTGTGTGTGTTCGTATATATACAGTCCTTAAATTTTTTTTGCTTACTGACTGTTTAATGAAGATCGAACACTTGATATTAATTCCTTAAAAAAATAAATGTGTGTTTGATGTTTATTTAAAAAATAGAAGTACTTTATCAGGAACTGCATATCAATCTTTGAATTTTCATGATGGTTGTTGAACAAAATTTTTCCTGCGAGTGGGGGATGCAGTATGATATAACAGAATTTCTACCCGTGCCTTTTAATACAGTTTTTTCCTTGAAAACTTGAAAAGTTCAATGAAATCCTTCTGAGAAAGTCAGGATCCTAATTAGTAAGCACACAGATTATACGGAATCAAGGTGATCTGTTCTTCGGTGGCTCTATTCTTCATAATTGAAAACATGTGAATGTTGGTTTTTCTTTTTTTCACGGAGTAGCTGGTCTTTATGCTTCAATGTGTAAAACTAAATTTTAAATGGAAGTTAATGATGTAGATCCCTCTTAATAGGTTCATTAATGTGTCCCCTAAAAAACAAAGAAATAGTTTTCATTAATGTGGTGTCTGTGAGAGGCTTAAACTTTAAAGGTTTGGCATTTGCACGTGGAAATTCTCAGACATGTGGATTCACTAAATGTGACTTATATTCAAGTTTTGGGGTTTGGCATTTGTACTTTATATGACTTGATTTTGTGGCTGTTTCAGGTCCTAAATGAGATGCACCACCAATTTTCTGCTGGCATGCAGGTATGTCAGTTTTAATATAGTCCACTGTTTTGCATATTCTATATTTTTATGTTTCATAACAGTACTTGTGTTTTATTTGGGCTGCAGACAATTGCAGTTATTCCTGTTCTTCCTCATGGTGTTGTTCAACTTGGTTCTTCCCTGGCTGTAAGTCCTTTATAGTATATATTGGTTTAATGAGTTTAGATGGCAGAATGTATATTTACACAGTAATATGCATTTAGTTTTCTTCGTTGTGCATCTGGGTTTAGTGAATTTTAGATGACAGAATGTAAGTGGCACTGTTAGATATGTATATTGTTCCCTTAAATCACCCAAAAAATATATTGTTCCAGTACTTTGCATCTTATTCTCCCACGCCTGACACTATCATTTGCTTTCTATCTTTATTTTAATTTAAAAAAAAAGAAAAAAGAGAAACAGCAATTTATTAAAGTAGAAAAGCTATACAAAGAGTAGATAAGGAATCCACAATCTGAAGAGAGGAGAAAATACAATAAAAGACAGACCACTAGAAACAAAGGTAAGCAAGGAAAGCTCTAAATTCGAAAAATCTAGTCTCACGTCACAACAGCTAACAAAACCAACATTATAGAAGAATGAGAATAATCCCTAAATCATCCCAAACCCATGCCCATAAAGCTGCCAAGAACCTCACTCTGTCCCAGAGTTCTTCTTCTTTCTAGCTAAATGACCAGGTTTGTCCAACCATGAGGAAAATCTATGGTTGTCCATCCTGGTAAAATTTTCACCTGTGTAACTCTGGATTTAGCAATATTTGTAAGGCAAGACCTCTGGGCACTGTACTTTAACCCCTTGAGGAGTGGTTATTTTGTATAACAAAAGATAGTTATGGGCTTCCGGACAAATGAATTATTTATTTGACTGGGCAAGCCACTGTTGCAAGCAACAACGGATGTATGTTATTAAAAAAAAAAAAGGCAACAATGGATGTGATTTTAAGACAAAAATTCCCTAGCATTGAGTCTATTTTATTTTATTTTACCTGTATTACTATTAGTACCTATGTTTTCTTCAAGTTTGACCATTCTGGCGCAAGCTGTTGGTTATTTTTAGCTAGCCAAATCAATTCTTGATTTCTGTCAGTTGCTTCCAACCTGATTAATGTATCCATTCTGCTTCAGATGATGGAGAATATAGGATTCATCAATGATGTGAAGAGTTTAATCCTGCAACTAGGATGCATTCCTGGTGCTCTGTTATCAGAAAACTATGCAACAAAAGATTTGGTTGAGAAATCTGGAGTACCCTATACTGCTGGTATGCTGACACCTATGCATCCAGCTTTAAATAATAAGGTAACAGGTTCTGCTCAGATGACTGATAACTATACACATCAAAGCAACTCATCTCGGGCCTCAGGCCTTGTTGGCCAACCATCTCACTCTCTTCTTAAAGATGTTCACAATAAGTCTCAAACTACTGATTCAACATTTCAAACCCCTAACCTTACCCAAAATCTACCTAAAATTCATGATGACCCTCAACAACCAACGGTTTCTCCATTGATGAAACCGAACTTTTCTTTTGACGGCCAACGAAAGGATGGAGTTGGGGGAGCTGAAGTAATTGCCACAAATTCTGATGTGTGGTTGAACCAGCTGACTCCCTCATATAATTCAAGCAGGGGACTCAAATACCCATCTCGTTTGGGTCAATCAGGTGCAAATCAGGGCAGTCTGAAGTTGATGGAACATCAGATCTTATCTGGTGGTAGCATTAGGTATGATCTTGATAACAACTTTAGCGCGTCGAATGGTATCATGCCTCAATTGAGAACGAATGGAAGTTTAATCCTTGATCAGAGCAAAGGTTCGATACCTGCTTCAGTGGTTGGAGGAAGTCAAGCACATGGTGGATCAAGTAGTCATTCAAAGCAAATTTTAGTTCCTTGTTCTCCTTCAGACTCACACAGGGCAGCTGACATCAACCTCTGTGGTGGGCGTCTGTCCAGTGTTAAATTTCAGAAGGCTGATGATTTCCAAACTGAAGGGGTTTCTTCATCCAGTGTGGCAGGTCAATCAGCTTCTCAGAACATGCTTTCAAAGGGCTCTGACCAGAGACAGTTTTCTACCAATGTGAAGTTTACTCAGACTGAACTGGCCCTGAGGGAGCAACGGATGGATCATGAATTGTTTAAAGCTCTTAGCATACCATTGATTCATCCAGATGAACACATGTCTTTGAGCGAGAACATCCCTGATATTATTCATGATGACCTTGATTATAAAATTTGTAGTCCAGGATCTGCAAATGGTACACATGATGCTTGTACTCAAATTTCATCAGGAGCTGATTTGTTTGACGTTTTGGGTATGGACTTTAAAAATAAGCTGTTTAATGGCAATTGGAACAAATTTCTTGCTGATGAGATAGGTTCAAATACAAAAGACCTGGGTGAGAATACTTCGACATTTACAAATGTGCAGGAGTTGGGTTCTGATTATTATTCAC